TATACTGGTTTTGACAAGAGACCCAAATGTGTCTAGTCTGTGTTCTTCCTCAACTGGTTGCGCTGCAAATCGCCCATCTCGTAGTGCTGTGATATTTTAGATTGCGTAACATGGTATCGTGACGGAACATTAGTCATCAGTTTGCTGATGGATGTTTGGTGCTTCCTGAGAGGTTTCACACTTCTTGGGATCCAGCTAGTTAGTGCAGTCCCGAGTTTCATTTTCAACCACATATTTTATGCAATCGACAAGGTGTACTCGTTTCCACGTTACGTTGGTGTTCACAGGGAGCGCAACGGAAGATTCAACTTGGCCGCTCATCAATATCGAAGCCGTTTGAAAGCGAGTATACGTGCAATCCGGTGTTTACTCAATACATGAGACCGAGGAAAACTGTGAGCCACTTCGATCAGGTGAGCGTCGCAAAGAACGAAACTTGTTGAATGTTTGAGCGTTATCAGCAATTCCAGCAATAGCAAAATGAGAAGATACTTCCCGTCCTTCCATGAATTATCTTATCCTCACGGAGCGCTTCAATATGCAAATGTGTTTAGACAAAACCAGATATTCTGTTTTCTACATTTAACACTCAACACATGCAACAGAGGGGAATCTCAAATAGGCAGATATATGCTGAGAAATATAAATTATTGCGATGAAATTAACTCATCAATGCTTTGAGAGGGTTCTGGACTGAACATTCCCATGTCTGTAGAGTCGCAAAGGGAATTTGTTGGATTTTAGTAAAATTAGTGTAGGAAACCTGCTGTCTCGTTCCTTTAGGACTCATCTAAATGTGCTATAACGTTGATCTGGCCCTCCGTATTAAAAAATGTGGAAACCTAGTTAGAACCAGTTAGCTGCGTACGTATTTAAGACGTGTAGTGCCTTGCTCCTGAGAAACAGCCAACCGTTTTCCACAAAGTCGTTCTGGCAACTGTTTGAAGGATCAGAGTACAACGGTTGCAGTTTGCAAAGCCTTGGTGCCAGTTATTTCGACCTTCAAATGATTTCATTTGGCTGTGGCTTGAATGGTGCGTCTTGCATATTTTGAATCGTTTGGTGCCCTGCGCATCGATGGAAGGCGGGGGTATTTCAGTGAACTTGATGTGTGCCATTGGGAACATAATTGCATCGTTTCAGATTAACATTACTATCGTGGATACCTTAGGAGCAAACAGTGATGCAGCTCAACGGACTGGATTTAGTTGCGGAGCCGGAATCATGACAAAGCAACTAATTTTTTGTCTCTCCACCTGTATAAAATGCGAGTACAAAGTGTCAGCATCGTGCGTCAGCGCGATTCCCGACAGCTGTGGAGTAGAATCTCACCGCAAATCTATCTAGCTTTTGTATTGAACAAAACCATGTGTTGGTCATGTAACCATAATCACCTTGAAGCACTCACTTGTAGCCATATCCGAATCAATAAGCGGAGGTGGCTTGCATATATGAGGAAAGAAAAAAGATCCAGTGAATTTCCAAAGACCAAATTCCAAAGTCTTTGCTGATCACAAGCAGTTTATCCAATATTAGCGTGTGTAAGACAAAGGAAGTCATTATGAGCAGGCAAAGGACAGATTGTATGGATGTTAGAAACTATGGATTGTGACTAATCGAACGAGACACACACTTAGAACGCACCAGCTGAATGTCAGATAACCCTACCTTGCAGAACGCAGGATCCAGTTGTAGTTAATAACTTAATTTATTCGAGAATATTTAACAGGACTAGACTTATTCGAATTCCATGGACTGTCGTTTCCGGTTGCAAAAGAGTATACAGTGTAGTTAACACGGGACAACATATTTGCCGCCAACCGACAGTCAAAGAAATGTCCCTCCAAATCATCGTCGGTGAAACATTATAGAAATGACATTAAATAAATCTGTACCTTTCGAAAGACTCGTCATATTGAAAAAGACTCGGGCGAATATCTTCTACTTGTTAGTTTGTTTCATGAACGACATGAAAGTTTTTTTTCAAAGTACGATTACATCATATTTTGGTCATTTGTTTCATTGTGGCTTGTCAAATAGAACATTTCTGGATGTCATGTGCCGCGCGGTCAGTGTTTGGTTATTCTGAGAATCAAATCACCACTATTGGTTTCAATAGTGACTTAAAATGTGCTACACTTGAAGACGTTTGGTTGAAGCCAGCTTTCTCTGAAGCGTGAAAGCATTTGAGAAGCAAGTAAGGGGTGATTCCAAAGTAAAATATGTGCGAATTCGTAATTATATTTCGCCTTTCAAGATAGACGTTCACCAGCCGCAAACTAGGAACAAATATTGCCGTTCACACTCCACTCAAGCTAATTCAAAGCAATAAGTTGGGTGTCTAAATCGCCACTGTGCTTGCCTGTAGATTTTGCTTTCGACACAAGTGGGAATTTGCAAAGTCTACAGCTTGGCGCTTAACAAACCCCAAAAATATTTTCAACTTTTGGGAGCGCCCGCCTTAACCGTTCTCGGTTTTTCGAATTCCCACTCATGGAGTGTAAATAGACAGTGGTGAACTGCGCCCAAGAAGCCTTCAACGATCTAACGGTGAAATATCTTACATTCACGAAGACCTCACTTGCAATATGGCTT